TCAAAACCCCTCCACATAACTGCCGCTCAGATTCTGATCCCGACCAGCACCAACAAGATGAAAGTCATCATGATGATCCCAAAGGCGCCACCTCCTACCACTGTCGCTTCCAGCGTCACCTCACCACCAAATCCTTCACCACCACCTCAGCCTTTCTACAGCCAAATGCCTCGCCGTTTCCAACTAAACCTCCCCGCCAGAGCTTTATCAATTCCTTTTCTCAAAAAAAATCTCTAATTCTCCTCCTTCCTCCTCTCTCTTCTCTCCTTCAGAAATCCTAACGTTTTCTTTTTTGTTCGGCCTAACGTCGAGAGGAGAGAGATATTCAGAATTAACTCTGATTCTGACCTCGATCTCAACTTCGATCGTCACGGAATCTGACCAACCTTTCGAATCCAACCTCGATCCTAAATTCTCGAAGTTGACAACTAGCCGCAAATCTGAATTTTGAATCCTTAACATTTTGGATTTTTGTCTCAGACTCATGTGATTAGTTGGTAATTTCTAAGTTTTAGTGCAAATTTTCATGTTTTTGATTGATTTATTTACTAAAACTAATAGTGAAGGTTACTAGATAAAAAAGAGAATTCCAAAAAAGAAAATTCCTCTTATATGTATGTTTAATGTTTTTTTCACAATTTATTTCTTTTTCCCCCCTCATTCGTTTATCTCAGGTCTTGATCTTAGATGGGAAACTTCTACTTGCAGAAAGAGGTAAGTAGTAGCAATAGAAGAATTGATATTCCCTTTGCTTTTTAAATTGTTTCTTATCGACAAATATAGTTCGAAGATGATAAGGCCCTATAGTGAAGAGTTTTACAGGTTAGCTTGGGTTTTCTATATGATTATTGATTTGTTTCAATATTAAATTAGATAGCTGATGGTGATATAACCGAATGCTTTCTACCTATTTGTTTTAAATTACAATTTATTAGATAATAGTAATACTTGCAATTATTATTTGAACGGAAGCTACTAAAGTTGGTTGACATCCTAATAATTAAAATAAAAAATGGCATTCTCTGTTGATTTAGTTATCCTAGTGATTGCTTGCAATTTTAAATAATTATAGCATGTTATTGTAATGTAGAACCATCAACCGAGCATAAGTTTCTTGGTCCATTCTATTTTGTACTGTAGGAAGTTTATGACAGTACTTTGCTCCAAGAGCAAAGAAGAGGTGGTGTTTGTCATCATATGAAATGTTGGTAGCCAAATTCTTGGTGCCTTTTCTTAAAAAGATATAGCCAGTTTTTATCTTAGTATTTCTACGCAAATCATTTTTCGTTCAATCCAGCATTATTTGCACGATATTTGTTCACTTTTTAGTATATGTTTGTATGTTTATGCTAATATTTTCGTTTACGCTATCAGTGGGCATGGCTTATTGGTTCTTTAGTGCACAGTTAAGTATCTTTATGGAACAATTTGGCTTCGTGTGGATTCATTGGTATCTTCATCATCATCTTATTTTTCTCTGTTCTTAGATTGGTTGGTTAGGTATTTCTTATATAAATTTTACTAAATATAAATTTTGTTGTCAAAGGTGTTCTAATATAAATTTTACTAAGTTTCTAATGTAAAGGTACACAAGGGATACATCATGATAACTTATAGAACCTGGAACTCATTGGACAGTTTGTAATATGTAATTTATCATTGCCCTTGAAATACACAGTTAGAAACGTTAATGTGATTTTATTCTCATTGCAAGATGAAGATCATGAGTTTATGTGACCTACTCATCAGCAACTTATTTGATTTTATCCTCATTTTAACGAGTATTGCAAATATAATTTCTTTAATAGAATAACTAACTTTAAACTAGATGTGTTGATAATCTCTGGATATAGTTGATTAAACTGAGCTGATTGATTTGTGTCTTCTGAAATGAGATAATTGATTTGTATAATTTGTAAAACTATCATAATTCTGCTTTAGATATACTTGAATATCAAATTGTTTTTGGCATACTATCACTATCTTTTTAGAAAGATATTTATATTATTTAACAAGCATAAACTTATTTCTATATTTGGTATACAATGTCATTTTGATTGAACCAGAAAGGAAAGAAAAGGTAATAAGCATGAAACCTTCCTTAAATATATGACTTCGTCCTTTGTACAATATTTACATTAGTCTAGGTCTCCATTTCATTTATTTGTCCATGTTTTGTTTTTCTGCCATTTTCTTTTACATGTCTTCTGTTTAATTTTTTTAAAGCAATGAAAGTTGTAATTTGTTATCTCATGTTACTTTCATTTACAAATTAATCTCTCAAACTCCCATTTCTACATCTTTTTCAAGTTCAGATCCTCTTTAGCTTTATGGACTTTACAGCTCATTGTTAATTTTTACTTTTACCTCGATTTTATTATAGTGAATTATGGCTTATTTTGAACAAAACCAATATGGATTATTGTTTTCATGAAATATTCAGTTATGAGTATTTGTCCTTCGGGAAATTTATGAGTGAGAGGAAAGTGGGTTTGATGTTATTGTGTGACTCATGCTTTTGATGCTCTTGAAAAATCACTTAAGTGTTTGCTGTGGACTATAATGCGATTCTTCAACAACTTGCTTGATTATAATGAAGTTGCTTGATTATATGAATATAAGATATTATCCAATTTTGGTGTAAGTAATGTATCAGATTTTCTGATCCAAGCTTTATATAAGATAAATTCTGCAGCTTCATATAAAAATTTTAGTAGTTATGTCTAATATGATAATTTACATAAGTAAATTCTGTAAATTAAATAATGTATTAAATCAAATACTTTTATATCTAAAGGAGAATTCATTAGCTACAGTAAATTTTCCTTTGGGCATCCACTATTTCGCTAACAAGATGTTCACATCAAAAGCTATAAATAATTTTTTTTATTCCACGCATTATCATCCTTTTGAAATTCAAAACAATGCAATAATTTACTATATTACCAGGTAATAACTTGCATCTAGCTCTCTTGGTCATGTGACAGTGAACTCATGGTCCAACAACAATTTAACACTGAGAAATCAAACAAATCACAAACCTCTCTTGGAGTACCACGTGATGGCTTGCATTGACTCAAAAATGTGTAGTTAATAACGAATAAAGAAGTGGGAATAGATGATGAGAATTGTAGGAAGATTTTGATGTAATGTAAGTTCTCGTAACTACAGGAGATTACTATGACATATATGAAATTATGGGAGAGGAGGGGCTCAGAAGATGGTAGTGGGTCTGGAGAATATTTTATGTAATATATGTTCTCACAAATACCATATGATACTATGTTATTTTGCAGCTAGATGCAATATAATATCTCCTTAACTTGGAACTTAGTAATGCTTCCTTAGTTTGTACGTTGATTGTTAAAGAAATATGATTTCCATAAATTTTTTTATATTGCAAGAAATATGTCTAAATCTAATTTCTTTTAGATATTTTTCAATTGCAAATGCAATTTAATAGAAATAGATTGGAAATAATATAAAATAGCAGAGTTTCATATGGGATATATACATTACACAGAGCAAAGAACGGATACGAAATAAATCACATGAGAGTTGAACTTAATACGATAAACATATGATGTCTCGCCCATGCTTTGCACAGGTAAAATAGTAGCATATGGCTAAACCCAACCTATGGCTATTTCTTTTCTTTACTGCATGTTTTTCAATGTGAAATAACATTCATTACATGATTAAGCAAAAAAAAAATCCAGATTTCTACTAGAAGAGTGTCATGGAAGTGCCAATAGTAAATATATAGTTCTTGTGAATACTTACTTATGCCATTGACATGAGGAGTTCCCACAAGAGTCGCCATGAGACACATTCTCAATACAGTCATTAGGTTCGCTGTTCTTGGATCCCTCAAACGAATCCCCGCAAGATTTACACTGGACAGGAGCAAGTATAGAATTAGTCATAACATAATATAACCCGATAATGTAATATTTCAGAAAATACTAGTGGATTACAATCCAACGCTGAACTCTGTTGCAATCAGCTTCCTTTCTGATATCATGGGATGAGGTGATATTATAGCCACCCAGTGGTCTCTAAAAGAGCAGAAATAAAAATTAAAAAAACCCATTAATTCGTTATTCGAAGTCCACAATAAAACATTTTCAGTTTTAACTAACCCATGGGTCTGTCTCGGTACTTGAGTTTATTCCATTCATCATAGTTGTGAAACGAGGGCCATGGTAACTGTGTGAACTAAACATCAGATTCTACCATGAAACGAGTTATATAAACAAGTAGTTCAACTAATCAAAAAAAACAATTGTGTACCTGCGGTCCTTCTTTTTAGATGTGACGTACAAGTAAGCATGAATCATCTCATGTAATAATATGTTCTTCAGATCAGTATTTGAGCAGAACTTTAATAAGTGTGCTGAGAGGCGGATATCACACCCACCCTCTTCCCTATAACAACACATTCCAGGGGATCTGTTACATAAAAAACAAAATGTCTATTACTTATTGCATACCGTGCATCAACTATCACAGAAAATTGTGGTACTGTATCATTAATACCTTAGCAGCAATAGAGGTGGCAAAAAGTTCAACTCTTATATAAGTAGTATAAATATCTAGTAGTTTAATAGTAAATACACAAACTGAGAGTACAATATCTGATAGAGCTAGCAAAGTGGCAAAGATATTAAAACAGACATAAGCAAGCAGTTACAGTAATGAACAGTGTGTATCGCCCTTCTTATTCCCTTTATTTTCTCCATGACATCTTTTCGTGTAGATTATAGTGTATCTTTCGCATTTTGATCCTCTATTTTTGTTGTGTGTCATAACTCATAAATATGACATTTATGTATGTCCTGGAATTTTGTTCTATTACAGTGATGGACAACCACTCGTCACACATATTTACAGACATTCAGATGATTAATATTGGCATATTGTGATTAGCCTCTTATCGTATATCTGTTTTTGGATAATTTCATAATCTGCCATCACTATTTATGGTTATTCAATAGAATGGTCCACAGATGTTGTCATGCCATGTTGCAAAATTCAAGTTGTTTTCACATCTTTTCTTAATCTAACTTACTCATTTAAATGATTTTAGATTTTATTTACATGATAACTGTGTAAATAGAATGTTGTTATTTTCCTAGTTGCAATTTAGTAGCCATTTAATATTATTTCAGTCCAAGATGCATGAAAACGGGTAAGGGGTACAGGTGCTGATGGGACATGGCAAATTTGTAAACTGTGGGGTATAGGGGCACAGCTACATATATACATTGAAATCAATGATTTACATGAGATCATTATTGTTTTTCAATTCATGTCATAATAGAACTAAGTTTCCTATCACATTTTTAAGTTTCTTTTATTATGTTTAGTATTATAAATTAGAAATTTCTAGTGTTTGAACTAGACACTTGAACAACTCTTTTAAATCATAAGTTTTGAACTTGGGTATGGGTTGAAACAAACCCAACCAATGAGTTTCAAGAAATGCATATGAAGTGTACATTCAAGAAGTGCATGATACGTGCTATGAAGCACGGACACGGACACGGCAAAACCCAAAAAAATAAGACACGGCGACACGGCTAAATTTTTTTAATATATTATTATATATAGATCAATATTGAATTAAATTTATATTACATTTTCATATTTTTTTTGTTATGTAAAGTGGAGGTTATAAATAAGAAACTAAAGAAAAGTGTGTGTTGCAGGTGTGAATTAAGACATCGAGATGGCAATCTCTCTTAAAAAATTGAAGACAATAATGTTAAGACAAGAAAGAGAAGATGAACATATAGAAAAATAGATCAATTTTTTATGTTATATTATTATGTAACATTGACTTGTATAATCAATGATAAATGTAAGTTATGTAACTGCTTTGAAGATAATACCAAATTTTAGTTTTCATTACTTTCATCTTGAGCATATCAAAATACAAGAGAATAAAATTCAAGTTGCAACTAGTTCCATGGCTACAAAATACTAAGTTACTAACATTGCAAAAATTACAACCAAACACGTATCTTAAAAATAAAGTTCTCAAGTTAAAACATCAAAAGATCATTCTATGGTTTCAACTCCTTCATCCTCCTCAAACACAACGGCCTCCATCGTGGGCTCGTCAAGATAAAGGGCGGCAACATCTAAAATACCGGCACCTTGAAATGATTCAAAGGTATCCCCACCAACATCGCACATTCTTGATTCCCCTTCCATATACTCTTCCGAACTTCGAGAAAGTAAGCGAAGGTTGGTGTGAACATAAACAAGATCCTCCACACGTGTCGGGGTTAGCTTGTTCCTCTTTTAAGGAGTGAATGAAACCATACGTACTCTAATGCCGTTCACAACAAGAAGAGGAACAAGGTTGGCCTAGAAGCTTTTACGGCCAATGATTATAAATTTGGAGTACTTGCACCATAAAGAAGCCACCGTGACTTAGGATCCATATATGCTCTATCGGAAAGAGAATCCGGATCACTAAAAGCCTCCAAAGCCCCCACAAACTTAGCATATTCCAAGTTCACCGCTCATCGTTCATCAGGGTTAGGATAGTATCTTCTTAAGCACTTTGCTCTTTCCGTAGAGATCTCAAGATCTTGATTTGGAGTTTGTCGATTGACTTTCTCAATGAACCATGTGGAATGATAGTACATATATTCGTTAATAACATGAATTAGCCCACAAGGTATTAAGTAATAGAAATATTCGCATTAAAGAGTGAAATGTGAAATATTACCTTGGAACTAAAGAGTGTGCCAAGCACTGAAGCGGGGTGTTGCTATTGTTCCATCGATCCACCAAGATCTTGTGAACCACCTCATAAAAAGGAGATTCCTCGTTATCCCTTTTACTCTCATGCCTATAAATAGTTTGCTTCACCTTCTCAATCATTGTATCCCACATATCATACACCAAATGAAGACATGGTGTATCGGTGTCGGTGACCCTTATCATTTTATAGATTGGGCCAGTGAAGTCAAGAATAAAATCTATCTTGTCCCACCACAAATCATCGAGGACTTTCTCTTTCACAAATTGAGCTTTTCCCACATCATCTTCTCTATACAAGCTCCATCGATCACTAAGGACCATGTCTTGGAGGCCTCTCTTGACGACCTTAAACCTCTTAAACATAATAATCCACGAAGCAAATCTTGTGTCGGCAATCGATAGGAGCTTCATCTTGGAATAATCATTAAACATGGAAAGCCGCATAGAGTGATTCATGATAAAATTCTTCATAAACAATGCATCATCGGATATCTCTGTAATCCAATGTAATTGTGCATAAGCCATGGTATTTGTTTCCGTGTTTTTAGCCGCATAAATATTCTTGATAGCAAGATTGAGTGTATGGACTACACAATGAGTCCAAAATATGTGAGGCTAGGTGCCCTCCACAAGCCCTCCCATGGTCTTGCATGCCGAAGCATTATCGGTTATGATTTGGATGATATTTTTCGGTCCCACCTCTATGATGCACTTTTCTAGCTGTGCTTGGATAAAATACTTATTCTTGACTTCTCCCTCGACATTCACGGCATTCAAGAACATTGGCTTACCCTCACATACCGTCATAAAATTGATGATGGGCCTCCTTTGTGCATCCGCCCACCCACCACTACAAATGAAGACCCCCTTCTGTTGCCATGTGCCCCTGATGGGCTCCATCAACCTCTCTACGTGAGTTTTCTCACGTTATAAGATATTGGTCCTTATGAAATTGTAACCGGGAGGCTTGTAGCCAGAGATTGGATTGCTTGCGGTATATACAAAAGCCTTGACATAATATGGATTCCTTGTCAAGTTGAAGGATAATCCCCCGTTTAGAACATCCTACCAATCAATGCATCCAATTCCTCCCTTGCTCCCATATTAAATGCTTGTTCCACGGTATTAGACCCCTTCCTCCTCTTAGATTCACCTGCACCAATCGACATGCTTGCATTTGCACCTATATCGGTCGTACTTGCAGATGAAGATATAGGCAAAACTGGCATCTTAGGCTTAGAAGCCCTCAATCTCGCCTCCGTTTGATCCAACGTCCTTTGAAACTCCCTTAGGTTTTCGGGTGTTGACTTAGAACACATCTTAGTTCCAATCCCGCTTATTCTCAAGAGGTGATTTTTAACTCTTGAGTGTGAACCGGTAAAATCCTCTCTGTAATAATTACATCTTCGTCTCCAATTTCCTCCTGTCGTTCCCCCCTTTTCTCCAATTTGGTAACATATTTTCAAAACAGACATTTGTCATCTTGTACTCCACTACCATTAGAACTCCCCTCTTGTTCTATTTCTGTAAAATACAAGCAATAACAATAAATTAAAAAATTAATAATAGTAAACCAGTAACTAAAATCATAATTAACAGTAAATTAAAAAATAAAACCCTAATTAATTAACTAATTAATTAACAGTAACAGTATGAATCCTAGTTCTCATATTTTTATACAGTAACACTAACAGTAAATATTATTCTCATATTTTTATATAGTAAAAACAAAAATAATAACAGAGAAGAAAAATTAAAAACAGTAACAGTAAAGGGGAGAGAGGGAGAGAGAAGAGAATTGGATCGGGTTTGGGTTATAAAAGAGAGAGAGAATGAGAGAATGAGAGAGCGATCGAGGGGAGAGAGAGGGGTTTGGGTTATAAAAGAGAGAGAATGAGAGAATGAGAGCGATCGGGGAGTGAGAGAGCGCGATCGGCGAGAAAGAGAGAGAGCGATCGGAGAGAGAGAGCGCAATCGGGAAGAGAGAGAGAGCGATCGGAGGGAGAGAGAGAGAGCGCGATCGGGGAGAGAGAGAAAGAGTGATCGGAGAGAGAGAGAGAGAGAGAGCGGAGAGACTGACCGTGTCTTGGAGATGATCGACGACGATGAGGACTCTGGCGGCGACGAGGAGGACTCTGGCAGCGACTCTTCGCTTCTTTCGACGAGAAATCAAGTAAGTTTTCTAACGACTAGGGTTAGGGTTTGGGTTTAAGTTTGAAATTGGGTTTCGAGTTTGGATTTCGGGTTTGGGTTTCAAAATTTGGTTTCGTCGTGTCGCCCTCAACTTCGCCGTGTCCGTCCCGTGTCTGCCGCTAGTCGGCGGAGTTGACCGTGTCGACGCCGTTGACACCGTGTCCGACGCGTGTCGAACACGTGTCGAACGCGTGTCCGTCTCCTACAAGCATCGGACACGGACTCGGGGGATGTTTGCAAGAGTCGGTGCTTCATAGGATACGTGCTTGGATACACACGCGCACATGCACATGCACGCGCGTGCACACACAGATACACATGCACACGCACACATAATTGAGTACATAAATTAATAAATGTATGCACATATGTATGCATATATCCAATAAGTTTCCATGAAATTCTAGGATGGGAAAGTGTTGGGTACGGGTATGGCTTCATGATAGAAGAAATCAGGTAACATAGATTTCAGTTATCCCAATTTCCAAGTGGATTTTTATAGTCATATTTATTTCCTTTGTAAGCATTATAAACATTTAGGCCTGATTTTATTGATCTTTTCTTATTCTATATATTTTTTTCCCCACCAAAACTACGTAGGGATATAGAAGAATATGAATATCCCCAGATAAATGGATATTATATCTTTCGATATGGATACATGTAAGGGTACTGTTTTAAAACTTTTATAGGATAAGGATACAAATACGGATATTCGTAAAATATTGGTAGATGTGGATATTTGGATTTCGGCATTAACCAGATTGTTAAAACAATTTTAGTCTTGAATTAGTGGATATGAAAACGGTATTCATGATCTAGCTTTAAGTGTGTAGACTTTTTGAACTCATTAGAGAATAGCAATCTGTTTAGATGACTCGCATATCATATAGCACATTTTAAATTCTATTAGTTTTTCCATATCTGATGTGTCTGAATATATTTTCCTCTCATCCGATAAGTATCCATATTCAATTTTGGCATATATAGAAATGGATTTGTCTTGCCGAAGCATGTCTGCAACCGATATTACTAAATAGATACAAATATGTTAAGTGCCATATCTCTGTTTGCACAGTTGCACCCTAACGACATAGATCCACATATGCAAGTGCATATATGGCACGTATTGCACAATATAACCTTGGCAGAAAACATTTCATTCGCAATAAACCTAGTGCCCAAAGTCCGTAAACATATCATGGTATACATATTGGGCACATATTACATTCCCAATAAACTTAGAACAACACTAACATCTTGGATATTCCTCTACCGACCTCTTGATTGTCTTAAAACATTTGATTCATCTCAACAAACAATACGATTATTAACCTCAGAATACCTAAAATTATTGAGCCGAAACACCCCAACAGCTGGAATAAACACATGAAAGGTCTATCCTTTCAGCTGACAAGTTGTTTAACAACTACTACCACATTTTTATAGATATATACCGCTCTAAATATCCTTGCTTTTCAGTAGCTAGAAATTTTTTTCCATCCACCCCCAACTTTCAGCATTTCAACTTTCACAACCAGCTACGGATTTTTTTTACTTTTTATTTTTATTTTTTTCAAACATTTACCATCTGCTAATCGTTTCAACATAATCAAGACATGAAAACCGACATGCAACTACTAAACCCATATCAAATTTCTCCTGAAAAATATAACTTTTCAAGAAATAAAATCCTGATGTCAAGAACTCAATTTCTCTCTATCCCGCGATTTGAGACTCGCCGCAAAGCATCCAAAAATGGTTACAAGAACCAAAATTGAAAGGAAAAAAAAGATCGAAAGAGGGAGGGTTGAGATTAGACCTAGCGGTGCGAGAATCGCTCCAATAGACAATGCAAGCGGAGAGAGCGTCATCGAAGTAGAGAGAGTTGTAATGGCCGAAGAGCTCAAAGATATCTGGCCTGGTCTCCGAGGGCTCCTCCAATTTTTCCCCCGATTCCATTTTCGAACCAGCGCCCCCCTTGGGTTTAGGGATTTAGGGCATATGAGCCGGCGATTTTACTCGTTTTAGGCAATTTGCCTCTCTCTCTCTCTCTCTCTCTCTCTCTCTGCAGTGTCTATTGGCTTTGAAGAGCTCTTAGAATTTATTTATTTTGCTATTGTTATTCTTGGGATGGTACTTTGAGTTGTATACAGAGACTTGTATCTTCATATTCGGAACATTTGGAAGCAATGAAATGAAATTTCAAATATTTCTGTTTACCTTTACTGTTGGCCTACATGATTTTTCAGGCATCTGATATGAGGGAATGATTTTCTTCTATTGTTTCTTCTTCATCTTCTTTTGGTATCTTCTACTTGATCCAACAAGTGGTATCAGAGCTTTTGTTTGAAGAAGTCAATGACTTTAAGTGTGTTTGGAAGATGACTTAAGGGGAGGAAGGGGAAGGAAGGAAGGGGGAAAAGGTACCTCTTCATTACATCCCAATTTATGGTGTAAGATTTTGATTCAAATTTCCCTCTATTCCCCTCCTTCACCCTCTTAAATGGAACTCCCAAACAAAATTAAAATTAGATTTCTCTCCCCATCCCACTCTCTATCCTCCATCCAAACATGCCATAAAAAAAATATGATGAAGTCCCAACTTCAAGTAAGTAGCCAAATGAAATTTTTGTACGAGCCTGAAGGTTCTAAAATTGTCGAACTAGTCAAGCAAGCTACTCTTTCAACAACTCATTAGTTGAAGGATAATCAAAAGAATGACGGGAAGACCTTGTATTGCCTCTATCATGCATGGAATACCTTACATCATATCAGTAAGTAGAAATAGCCCCCTCTTTGATGTGTGAGGGAATTTTTTTTTTCTTTTTTTTGGTGTGTGTGTGGGTGGGTGGG